GTGCTGCATGCCATAGACCACGACGAGGCAGTGGAGGAGCTCTTCAAGGCCGATCCACTGCAAGAAGGACTCGGATGCGTTGGGGTTAGGGGTTTAGGGGTTTAGGGGTTTAGCCCACTTCGGGGGAATCGAATCAGACACCGGGGTTTCTTAGGTGCCGGATTTGTCCATTTTATAGGGCTCCAAAGATGACCCAGAGACCTCATCAATTCTCAATTCCCGCCTTTGGTTTGCCAGGTGGGGGGGGGGGGTCGTGGAGCCGGGGGGCGGTTGGCGGATGCGTTTGCACAGGGGTTTAACCCATTTTGGCATTTTGGGCGCCCTACTTATTGAAAAACAGCCGTTGCCTTTGGCTCAAATGAGCCGTTTGCCACACGCAAGCACGCGCCAAGTGCCCTTCTTTGGAGTGGGCCACGCCAGACCAACATTTGTTTGAACTCTTCGCGGCCACCCGTGTTGCAATCCAATCCCTCAACTCTGGAGTGTCCCGTGATTGCCCTTTTTTCAGGGGTTTAATTAGGGTTTAGGGTTTTGGGTTCAGGGATTTTTCCTGTTCGCGTTCGAGTAGTCTAATTAAGAGGGATGTGTTCTGTCAAGTTTTGGCTCCAGGAGGCCTCTTGGTTTGTTGAGTTTGTTTGGAGGTGCACCTGATAGGACAATCCACCGGACGGGGCCGTGACGTGGGGTCGCATTTAGCACATGATCGAACCGGTAAAGGGACAGAAAGGAGCCTTGCCCTGAAGCAATTTTTGCCCGTCACCAGGGCCAGGGGTAGATCGCTTGGACCGCCTCGCCGATCTAGTGCTCAGAGTTTTGCACACCACCCCATCCCCTTGAAGGCGCCCATTGGCTGCGTTCCCGGCCAGCCCTCGCCCTCATCCACGCTGAGTGTGCGATTGGCTTGGCAGGGCCGTCTTCAACGTAAGCTACGGTGGTTTGAAATATCTCATTTTGCCCCCTTGGGCCCACGTGCCGCCTTTCTGACTTGCCGCCTAATTGCGGCCCGCAGGCGGGCCGTGCGCCTTTTGGGGCCAGGATTCTGCGCGGACGAGCCTTTGCACACCATAACTGCGAGCAAGGAGACCAAGTGGGAGAGGTTCCAGGCCTGAGGGAGTCGAGGGCTGGGCAGGCAGGGTGGTCCAGGGTGGTGGCACCAATGCACCAGCCAAACACCAAAGCTTCAGGGCATCCGTTTCGGGTGTGACTTGGTGCGATTGGATGCGCGCCTTGAAGCCTAGCAGCTCCACCGTTTGTCCATGGGATATTTGCACACTTGTCCCATGCCCATGACAAGGCAGGGACATGCGCATTTCCGATGTGGGATGATTCACGCTAGGTTGCAACCAGTGCATTTTGCTAACACATTAGTCCTTGGCTTGCATTGAGCTGTCTCAAGGATCGCTGGTTAAACAGCCGGCACTTTGACGCAGCTGGTTGTGAAGGGTAGCCTGGCAACTTCAATGAAAGCTTTGCTCGCCCGTTGCCGACTGGATCATTTCTTGGCATCATTCCCGCAAGCAGACGGGCAACAGTTCAAACTTGCATCTGGATGCGGTGCTTCTATTGGAGCCCGCCCAGTGGTTCGATACCAAGATGCATTCGCTGCTCGGCTCAGTGCATTTGGTTCATGAAAGAAACTGACTTGCAGCTGTTTCGGACTGCCTACAGAAAAAATCCCTCGAAAGTGGAATTGGGATAGGTAGGGGTACGGAGTTTCAGAATTCCATCTCGCATTCAGAGCGCACCTCTTCGGAAATGCCTAGCTAGGAAAATTTCAGGACACCCCTCTCCCCAAGGGCAGAAAAGCAAATGAGCCCGAAGCCACTGCTGGGGGTCCAAACCTTATTTGCCACCCCAACCCGGCTCGAGCCGTGCAGACCTTCCTGCAATCGACGCAGTTCGACATGATGCGCCTGGATCGCACGGTGGGGTGGGTTCAATCAGAACGCCTGGCGAGAAACGAGAGAACAAGAGCGCCATGGGTACTTTTCAGGTGCCAAATCAGCAGATCAAGGGCTCCTGGGGCCAATAGGCTGCAAGCACCCTACAAGGTGGGAGAGGCATGATCAATGCGGGCGCTTGACTAGGTGTTGGCAGAAGCAGCGCTGCATGGATTCACCACTTGTGATGGCACAAAAAGTGAAAGCTGATCCTCCACCGGTTGTACAATGTGAAGCCACCCTTATCTATTGAGCCTGTTTGCTTGCTTGCTTGATTGAGTGCTTGCTTGCTTGCTTGCTTGCTTGCTTGCTTGCTTGCTTGCTTGCTTGCTTGCTTGCTTGCTTGCTTGCTTGCTTGCTTGATTGTCTGACTGATTGATTGATTGATTGATTGATTGATTGATTGCTGCTGGCTCCCTTCCTCTCTCGCTTGCTTGCTGGCTGCCTCGCTCGCTTACTTGCTGGCTTGCTTGCTGGCTGCATCGCTCGCTCGCTCGTTCGCCCGACTTGCTTGATTTGCTTGCTCGCCCGCTCACTTGCTTGCTTGCTTGATTGCTTGCTTGATTGCTTGCTTGTTCTGCTTGCTCCTTCGCTCGATCGCTCGCTCTCTCGCTCGCTTCCTTCCTTCCTTCCTTGCTTGCTTGCTTGCTTGCTTGCTTGCTGGCTTGCTTGCTTGCTGGCTTGCTTGCTTGCTGACTTGCTTGCTGACTTGCTTGCTGACTTGCTGACGTGCTCGATCGCTTGCTCGCTCGCTTGCTCGCTCGCTTGCTGGCTCCCTTCGCTTGCTGACTCGCTTGCTTGACTTGGTCATCGTTCGATCGCTTGATTGCTGGCTAGCTCGCTCGCTCACTCATTTGCTCGCTCGCCGCTCGCTCGCTCGCTCGCTTGCTTTGCTTGCTTGCCACAGTTTGTCAGAACTTGGCCATTCCGCTGGTGCCGCTTCGTGATCGCTCAACTGACTCATTTTAGATTCTAGCAGTTTGGGCCCTGAGCTTCAGCAGTTGCTTGAACTGCTGCCCCAGTCTGAGCACTTCAGTTCTGTTTTGGGCGGGCGCTTGGCACATTTCTGTGGAGCTACCGTGGGTCAAAACCAATGGTAGCATTTCTGGGTAGCCATTTTAGAACCTATTTTAGTTGGGATTTGGATGTTCACTAGGGGTGCGATTTGGCTACTTTTGACCCATGGCCGCATGGTTGCGCTTGGGGCAACTGACCGGGGCGGTGAGAGATGAGGATCGCGGCCATGGTGTCCGTGAACGTGCTTTGGATGGCCTTGAAGCTGCAGATCGAGGGCTCCATCTCTGGGTACGAGCCAACTTGGCCGCAAGAGGGTGAAGGTTGGGTGAGAGTCTAGGTCCCACAGCTAGGTGCCCGCTCTTTTACGTTTCTTTTTTTTTGGTTGGGAGGGGAAACCCCTACTAAAATAGACAGAGAATAGTTGGTAGCCTTATTCTAACCTCTCTCTACTGGAGGACCTTGGAGTTGGGTGAGATCCTTTTGTTGGTTTGGCCATCCTGGCCATCCTGTTGTGTACCCGCGAGGAAGCCGCGACTAGTTTTACTCTCTGGGCCGAGAGTCGGGCAAGGCCTGCAGAGACCCATGAAATAAATTGAAGGCTGTCCTTGCTCGGCTGTTTCCTGGCAAAGGCTGCAACAGGAGAAGGAAAGGTGGTTGCTTTTCCTTCACCAATTTTACATCTGGACGCGCGTTTTGACATGTTAAGTCAGAAGCAATGGGCGTGGCACCGGAATGTCGATCATTGATAATCCCATCAACTCACAGGCTGACAAGCCCCCTGAATGCAAATGCAATGCGTTATGATACAGTCTTTGGGCAACTTCGGTGTTGCATCGTTGGAGGCCGGTAGTGGTCCAGCCTGGTTACATTTTGCATCCTGACAGAACCAGTGCGCATGGGTTGTGAAGCAGCAGGTCTTTCAATCGATGTATTTCTCGACATGCTTGGCAGCTAAGCCTCAAAAGCACGGCATGTTGGCTTCTGTTGTTTTTTGGGGTGGTGGGTGCGGGGGTCGGCAGACAGCCCGAGCTTCTCGGCTGCAAGGATGGGCATCTACGCGGACCCCCCCATGGCGGATTCCAGCCGCGGGACATGGCAGGTCTTCCAGGAGTGCGGGGACGCGGTCTTCACAGGCGCGAGGGTTGGGAGGTTTTGCGGTTGATGAGTGTAAGTCTAGGGGTCACTTCCATTTCCATTCTTTTCAGGAATCCTTCTTTTTTTGATTAATTTAATGTTGACCCCGGATTAACAATCCCCTGTTGATTAATATGGGGGCGTCCCTGGTTTTAGTGGGGATTTATCACTTTTGGAGGGGAACCCCCAGAAATTAATATACAAGGTTTTTTTAGTCCAGGGTCAACATTAATGTTGACCCAGGATTTGTAAACCCGTCCCAGTATTAGGGGGGTGTTCCCTCCAAAAGCGGTCTGAATACCCACAAAAAGGGGACACCCCCCAATCAAAGTCGGCGTTTAACTTCATCCGGGATTAACATCAACATCTTGCGTGTTTCCTCGCATTTCAAAGCGGGACTCTACAATGTGGTACGCTCTTGCAGGTCAAGCCCCGCAGACAATTTCATCTCCCTAATCACAAATTAAAAGCACAAACGCGGGCGTGGCGTAAAAAATGGTACCCCCAAAACATGGTTGGTTCCTTTGCCACTCCAAGGGTATCCTCAAAAGAAGCACAGGCCCAGTCAATTGTGATGGTTCCTGTTGAGCAAGTCATCCAGATCCTTTTCGAGATTGCACGTCGAGTCATGGAGCACTTTCGCTCACGTAGACAGAAGCCCAGGCTGGCGTCAGGTGGACATAGGCCAGGTGGTTTGTACCCTTTGCGGCTGGCATGTCTCTGGAATGAAGGCGCTTCGCAAGCCAGCACCCTTCAGAAACGGCTTTTCGCTTTTGGATGACGTGCAACTGGGCGAGCGCGTATCATGGCATATCCAAATAGGGGACGCCTGCCACTAGGTTGGAACTCCTGTGACCCTGGCCCACTGATTTTTTGTGACCGACTGCTACTGACATAGTGGCAAAGCTTGTTTGTACATAGCCCATGCTCGCAGCTCCAGACCAGTGCCTGACTCCCAGTTCCGCTCTCGGATCCAGTTGACAGATCTTTGGGATTGACTGGGCAGCTGGCTGGGATGCGCTGGGTCTGCGGAAAAAAACGACGAGTGGTCACCAAGCCTCAAGACCACGCGAAGCAACTTGAAATGTGCCACAGCGCCTGGCCCTGGTTTTCACCAGAGAGGCCTTCCGGCCAGGCGTCTTCGTGCTGGATGTGGGGGTTCGCATCGTGGCCCTGAAGCCGCTCGGGCGCACAGGCCATCAGCGCCATCAGCGCCATCAGGCGGTCGGGGCCTGTCGGGGCCTGTCTCCCATCAGCCCAGTGGCCCAGTGGGTTGCTTCCTTTTTTCCTCTTCTTTGCTGTTTTTTGGGGAAGGGTTCACTTTCAACTCAACCAACCAAAACAAGGATGCTCTTTCTTTTTTTCTTTTTTTCCCCGGGCCACTGGGCATGTGAGGCCCTGCGAACCACTTTGGTGGAGCTTCTTGCTGGGGCGATAGGTAGGGAATGAGAGAATGAACCCTAAAGGAAACCACAAGGGATGGTTTGTAGAGGTCATTCCCTGCTGAGCACCGTCAGGGTGAGAATCCTTCAAATTTGAATCGAAGCGTCCCCGTTGCACAAGGCCCTTGTAATCCGTCAGCAGGCGGGTCCATGCACAGTATTCAGGACCTTTGTTCTGGGCCGTGCGCTTTGGGCGTGTGGGTGCGCTTGTGGCCGAACTGTTGTAGCAGCCTTGCTCTCGGGTACTCTTTTACATGGATCTTGCCGCTTGCCGTTCCCACGCCAGTGCCACACTCATTGTTTCCTCTTTGGGAGAGGGCAAGGGTTGTTTGCATTAGCGCACGTCATTCAAGTGACGACCAAGTATCCCTTCACATCGAGGCTGTGTCTCAGCTCAGGTGCGCTTTCTGGAGAGTGTGGCTCAACTATGTAGACGTGGCTGTGACCATCGTCTCGATGATGGAAGCGCCTTGGGCCACTTTTAAGCTGCCTCTTGGCGATGCCCTGGTGCAACCCGGGCTTCTTTTTTCAGTTTGCCCCAAGTTGCAAACTTAAACCCAGGTAACCTAACACCAAGGAAGTCACTCCCCTTGCCTTGGATTGCCATACTTGGCGCATTCCAACAGCTCAACCTTGGGTGCGGTGGGGGGGACACGGCCAACCCGCGTGTCCAAAACGTGAACCTGCCAGGAGAAACTCAGCCAGTGGTGGTGCCTTTTGGAGAGGGTGTCTCTTTAGAATCGACAAGACCATAGGCATTTTTCCCCCAGAGTTGCTGGAGGTTTGGGGAAAGGACTTCCGCAAGGAGCTGTTTGTCAGATGCCCTATAGGTCCGAGAGTTAGTTCGTCCTGGGTCGGAGTGTCGAACTGCATCAAAATAATAATAATAATAATAATAAGAATAGTAATAATAATAATAATAATAATAATGATAATACCAAAAATAATAATAATACCAATAATAATAATCATAATAATGATGATAATAATAATAATAATGATAATAATAATAATAATAATAATAATAATAATAATAATAATAATAATAATAATAATAAGTAATAATAATAATAATAGTAATAATAATAATAACAATAATAATAATAATAATAATAATAATAATAATAATAATAATAATAATAATAATAATAATAATAATAATAATAATAATAATACTAATAATAATAACAATAATAACAATAATGATATATATATATATAACCCTGCCTCCCAACATGGCAGCTGACAGGGGGTCCCTTCAAGAGGAAATTCATCTACCAGGTACTTCCCCATAATAGGTGCCATGTTAGTGGGAGGGAGGGTATTTAGAACTACGTGAAATGGAGATGACACTGCTGGTTGTTAAAGCACATTGGGAAATCCAAATTTGGTTGGAGCATGCACCAAGATCAATTTCATTTTGGTGGATGCCAGAAATCGATCTGGAAACCGGGCGCTTCGTGCGCTTGCGTCTTTTCCTTCAGAAGGCAATGCTCTGAGTGACGCTGTGCTGTTTTTAGTTTCGCTTGTGCCAAGGTCATAGATGCCCTTTTTGGTTTGGTGTGGTCATACTGTGGATGGTTGCGAAATTCGTTTCGCACCACTTTGAACCCATGGTCGAAACCGTTTGTTTGTTGGCATTTACAGGGGAATCAGCATTCAAGGGAATCGCAGGTGGTGCAGGATTTCATCCATACAGTAGTTTCCCTTTGGGCTGATTTCAACCTCACCTTTTGGGCTGTTTAATTGGGGACTCCCCCGCACCCCCCCCCCAGAAGCTGGGGGGATCGAATCCAAGGGGGAAGCTGATGGTTTCTGTGAGGTGGTTAGCTACTGGGCTGTGCCCGTCAAAGTCAACGCGGCGATCTTTCGCCTGCTGCGCATCGGGAAGCTCGCACGGGCGCTGCGTGCCTCGTTGCGGAGAGGGGTCAAGGGATGGTTGCCTAGGCTTTTTTGCTAGCGAATCGACCTGGTTTCCCCATTTTTCATGGCCCCAAAAGGTGAACCTGGATAATATGTTGTTTGTTTGGGCAAGTGAGGCATGCTCAGGTAACCCTTGGAGCATTGGTTTGGAGTTGGATTTGAAGCCTGAGGGGCCCCCGATCGAAAAAGCATGAGACATGCAAATGGCTTTGTCTCTAAATGGGGGAACCCATGGGTGGTTTTGTTTCGGGCTTCCCTTTGAAGCCATCCAAAAAGGGCAATTGCCCTCAAAGACACCCCCCGAATTCAGCATTGCGGCCTCCTTTCATAGCCTAGTTTGCCGACAACTGACCTATACTCACTTGAGCCAAGACTGGCAAACCTCGCAGGCTGGCATCCCAAGAGGATCAGCGATATGTTTTCCCGAGATTTCTTTTGCTCTCTATTTGGCATGGGGATCGAGGTCCTGTGTAGGCATATTGTTTGATGTTAACTTTGGATGAATCCGGAGGTCCCCAGTCAAAGGACCCCCCCAAAGAAAAAGTACATAAGACATTTTACCAAAAGGGAACCATCCCTGGCTGTTACGGTCTTCTGGATGAATCTGAAGTTAACATAACGTGAGGATGCCAGGTGCATGTGAGGGTGCCGCGCACTGCCGCACGAAGGGCCTTGTGTATCGTTGGGTGGTTGAAGGCTGCCTTTTGGCCGATCGATGTTCCAAGATAGCCCAACTGTTTTTCCAAGTTGTTTTCACAGGTGGGATTTGGGGGGGGGGGAGGAGGGGGGCGGATTTGGATGGATGATGTATCAATATATGGCATCGTTTTGGTGCGGAGTTGTTCGAATGTTGGCGTTTCCCTCGTGTGATTTTCCCTTCTTCTTTTTTTCCGGGGGGGAGGGGGGGGGGGGAAAAGGAGGGTTCCCTTTGCAGAAAACAACTTTGATTTCTCGCGCTTTTTTCTTGTTCAAGAGCCCGTTGAAGCGTTGGGCGGCAGGCATGCTGCCGGTCACCAACACCCTGGCATCTTTGCAGCTCTTGGTGAAGGGTCTCACTGCCAGCAGGTGCCTACCGGGGGCACGGGAAAAGGTCAGGGAGGCTTTCCTTGAGATGTTCATGGTTTTGAGTTGGAAGCCATGTGGGATGAGCGGCGGCCTTGCACAGTCAGCCAGAGGCAGGGCGATTTTGGTTAAGACCCTTTGAAGTATTGACTCGACGCGCGGCGTTCAAAGCCAGGCTTCAGATTTCTGGCCCAATTGATTCATTGGCCGCCTTTCAACTTTCCAGCCGACCTCTCAACATGCACTGGCAGTTCGGGTGCTCGCGGGCAGGAACAAAACGCACACATGCAAGCCTCCAGCTCAGGTACCGGCCAAAGCCAACGGCCACAGTTTTCCCAAACATTGCTCCAATCGCCTTGACTCGCAACCGCCTTGAGCCACATGCCACGGAGCCTGCAAAAAGGTTGGGCACCCTCTTCAAGTGCCGGCTCTTTGGGTTTCATGTGAGTCTGGAGGGTAGGACTTCACGACTTTCTTCCTTTCCTGGTTTGGTCGGGGTGCCGGCACGCAACTCCCGGCAAATGGCTGAGGTAGGCGAAAGACAGTGTTTTTTTTTGGAACAGGGAAGCGACTGCTGATTTTGGGCATCGAGACATCGAGCCAAAATCCACGCTGCGCTTTTGTCGTAAGTGGTGGGGAGGGGTGGCAGGTGATGTATTTGCAAAAGACAGGCCTCACACCTTGGCATTGGCCGCGCGCTGGGTCCTTGGTTCAGCTGAAGGCATTGTGACGTTTGCACAAGCGATGAGTTTGGCAAATTTGAGCGGGCAATCTCTCTTCCAATGTAGGCCAAGGTCTGATGTGTTTTGGCCAAATGTCAGACAAAACACTGACAGTCGCAGTGTCGGCTTGGGCCGTAGTTCCTATGTTTGGAAACGCCTCTGACTTGCCACTTGGGACCCCTGCGAACCGGGACTTGCCTCTGACCAGCTGTTCGAACAGCATCCCTTGACTGTATGTTCCCTAGGATGTGTTCCTTGGGACCCCGGCCAGTGAAACTCCCAAGATGTTACCCCAAAGAATTGCTTTTATCACTTAGACGCGACCTTCATGGAATGGCTATACTGAATTGAGGATGTGCAGATATATTTTTCCTGGGAGTGGTTTCAGGTTTGTGGGCAACCCCGACGGTTGGGGCTGGTCAGTCAAAGCCGTAAGATTGGGCCGTTTGCTATACTGTAGGCGACGTTGCCCATGCTGCATGCTGGTTGAGCTCCAACCTCTTTGTCGCGCCCAAAAGAAAAGACGTCGAAGGGAGATCAGGCAGCTCTAGGGCCAAGGGGTAGAAAAAAAACGCCAGCGCCACAACAGGTCGCTTGATATGGCTGCTCAAAAATAAAGAGCGGCATGCGGCAGCTGGTAGCCTGTTCCATTTCCCGAAGGTGCCATTTTGGGTTCCATCATATTGAGCTGCAGCCATACCGTGGATGGTTGCGAAATCCATTTCGCACCACTTGGAAACCATGGTTGAAACCATTGTTTTTTTGTTGGCATTTCCCGGGGAATCCTCATAATCCGAAAGCCGCGGGGGCGCTGCGCGAAAGCCGCGCGCATGCCAGGGGCATGCTCTTCTGGAGCTTCTGCTTGCTGACCTTCCTGCAGTGCGTGGCGGGGATGATCATCAGCACCCTGTGCCGCGACTACATCACGGAGACGACCTATAGCCAGGAGCCAGTCATTGTTTGTTGCCCAGTGGTTCTATGGGTCTTGTTTGCTGCTCATGGTCTTAAAGTTTCCTGGTTGTGTTGTTCTTCTCTGGCGAGTTCATGGCTGCCTGGGCGTTTGAAGCTGCATGTATGACGCAGGTATTTGTCCACCCTTTTTCGGGCCAGGAGGTGAAGGATGTGTTCCTGTACTACGGGACCTTCTCCCGCACCTTCCTCTCCATGCCGCTTGGCCAACGAAAGGCGCGACGACAGGAGGTTGGTTTCATGTGCCAAGCAATCCATGCGCTTCACGCGGTTTGGGGCAGATTCCGCATGCCGCTAGGACTCACTTCCTGAGTTCATGAACTTTAAACTTTTTGGGAAGACCGTTTTAGTGGTAAGTATAAGGTTCGGACATGTTCGGACTTTTTTTGGGGCCATCCACTCGGCAAGTGAGTCAATGACAAAGAGCTCGGGGGCCGAAGGTTTGAGATCCTCTTTGCCAACTGGGGCCCACCAGCACGCGTCTTGGTGGACAATGTCAGCCACTCTGCTGCAAGCCGAAGCTGCAAGCGGTCGAACGTGGAAACGGATGCAGGGCATCCGCGGGCGGTTGCTTTTGCGCTGTAGGTTTTACGGCTCCACATGGCCGCCAGTTCTCAAACGTCTTGGGAAGCGAGAAATCAAGGGGGCTTTGATGTGCTGGGAGGGGGCTGGCCAAAAACCTGTTTGCATCTGTTTGTGATTGGTTTTGAGCTTTTGCTGTTCCATTATCTCCTTTGGCCAGCATGCGCATGTTGCACAGGGGTGAGATGGGGCGAGTTTAGGCGACTTCGATCCAGCTTTCACCTGGACAGCTTCCCCTGTGAGCACACCCCAGGTCTATCCCATATCTGCTTTCAGGTCTTCCAAAAGCAGGGTTAATGAAATGACCGGCCTTCAACTCGGGGCCCTGTCCCTTGCGGATTTGATCCAACGACCGGGCAAGCCACCCGGCTGCTTTCCAAGCAAAAGTCCATCATCGGCGTTGCGCAATCCGCCCGTCGAAGCACGTTCCAGCAACGTTTCTTGTGGAAGCCGCGCATTTTGCCAGCAGGACGTCTTAGCATTGGACAGGATTGAGTTGCTTTCGGGCGTTCGAGCAACATCGTTTGTTTGCTTGAAACGTTGTTCGACCCGAAGCGCACCCCTTCTTGGAAGACTACCTTCATTAAAAGAGCAGAAGAACCAATCAGGAAGGCTGTGCACTTCCACGTGGGTCTGTGGGAGGGTAAGTTCTGACACCTCTCCCCCAAAGGGCTGATGCGTCCAAATGAATGATTGGACATTCTTCTCAGGCTCCATGTTTTTTTTCTTGGGAAACATTGGACACATTTTTGCTCATAGCGGTTTAGTGGTTGAAATCCAACCACTTAACTGCTAAAACTTAATTTGTTGCTCCCCTTCCAACGTCAACCAAGGCTCTGAGCTTTTGCATGCGTTGGCCCATTGGGCCAAATTTATCACCTGTGGAGGTGAGTGGTACTCACTCTTCTTCCTCCTGTACCGGTGCGTGTTGGGCTTTGCCGTCATAAATGCGCCTCGGAAACATGCATTGGTCATCCCAATGCGTGAACGCTGCTCAACGTTTGGGACCATCTTATATCTGGACCCTTGAACAAACCGATGAACAAAGCAAGGGTTTTAATCCTGGGTGACGTTCGTCAAGGTGACATGCTTCAGTCGAAGTTGGATTGACTGTTTGCAGGCGCCGTCTCACAGGCAAACACAGACAGGGCCTTGCTGTTGGCTTCGTTGAGGTTGGGGTGATTATGCAATGCAAAAGCAAGAGGCACACTCAGACTTCTTGCGCTGAGCTACGCGTGAACCATTCCAAGCCTTCCCCCCACCGAGGTGGTGAACGCAATTTTTGTGCAACAGACCTTGAAGACGGCGAGTTCAGACGAGGAGCTCTCCTTCAAACAGCGTCCCGGCGCAATATGGTCTTTGGAAGGGCTTAGTTTCTTAGTTTTGGATTGGGCTGGCAGGGCTCAGGTCATTCTTGGCTTTTGGGCGCGCAAGGTGTGCACAAAGCGGCTAGCACGGGCAAAGGGGAACATCTCTTTGGATGAGTCGCGGGCCCGGGGATCGAGAGTCGCGTGTTGCAGGCACAGAGTTTTGTATGAGTTTCCTGGTTTCGGACCAGAAAACTGGATGAGTCCGGAAGGTGACATTTTGGCACTGCCCATCTGAGCTTTGCACCGAGGCCAGCAGAAGTTTCATACATAGGAATCAGACCCAACAGGACGTTGTTGTATTGTGTTTTGCTCAACGTGTGGCAAGCTTGTCCTGTTGATTATCCAAATGAACAGCGCTTTGTTAGTTTGGCATGGATTCCCATTCTGAACCCAGTCAAGCAGATTTTAGCTTACACCCCAGCCAAGTGCCTTCATGGACTGCGTTGTGGCTGGTTTATTGGTAGTTCGTCCGTGAGCTTTGCTTGCAGCTCGACTCAAAGCTGTGCGCAGCCAGCATGCGACCTGATCCGACCTTTAAGGCTGAAGCAATATTTTTTTCTGGCCAAGTGCGACGTGATGCTTGCAAGCTTCGTTGTCATGGTGCGCTGGTGAACCGCAGTCGGGGACCCCATACGTGTTCGAGGGCGTATGCCGGATTGCCTGTTTGAGGGGGTAGCCTTTGCCTTTGGTGGCATTCCCTTTGTGCGCAGCGACGGGTTGAGGGACAGAAAGTCGGACTCTTCCAGGCTGGGTGTGTGGCCATGCCCTCACGAGCTAAGGAAAGAAAAAGACATCCAGATGTATGCGAACAAGGCGCCGCATGGGTTCAGATGGAGGGTTCCGGACTGTTGCATGGCACCCGGGATGGTGACTCGTTGAATCCAGAAGGGGCACTTGGACCCCGTGCCTCAGGCCCGTTTCCTCAAACAGTGATAAAGGGGCCATTGGTCAGAGCGCGAACCTGAACCTGAGCCCTGGGCACAGTCAGAGGAAGCCCTGACGTTTGCAACCATTCGGCTTGGTGGCCAGCAGGGGGCATCAAAGCCGCGATTGTCACACAGCTCTCCCAGATGTCACTATTCCCCCTCACTTCCTGGCTTTTGAATGGAGCTTGCACCATCAATTCTCCCCAGCGATCCAATGTAGGGTGAAGTGAAGAGCACTGGCACACACTGGCGATTGCAAGGAACGTGTCTAGGAGTGCCCTTCTGGGTCCATGCAGGAATCGGGTCCACGCCAAAAAAAACAATTCCCGCTGAAAAAACACCCTCTTGCCATGGTGTTTTTTCCTTTTCCGCTGGAAAGGGCAGGTGCTTCCTTCCCCGGTGGCAGGTGAAGAAGCTCTTTCAGACCATGGACTTCTCGGGGGACGGCTCCATCAACCTGGAGGAGTTCTCCAAGCTGGTGAAGTCCCCGAAGCTGAAGTTCTGGATGAGCGCCCTCGGAAGAAACGCCAAAACGGCTGTGGCGGCCAAAGAGCCGTTTTGAAGGATCCCAGTCATTTTGGGGGATTGGCGAATTCACCACCCCAGCTTGGCTTTTATTTTAGTGGTTGGATTGGGATGCTCACTGGGGGTACGATTCGGCTTTTGACCCATGGCCATTTTGTTCGGGGGCGGGTGGATCTCGAGCTTTCTGAGCCTTGAAGAAGCCCAAAAAACCGGGGGGGGGGGGGGGGGGGTTGATCTTGTTTTGGGGGTTCTCGTTCCCTGGAAATAACTCCCAAACAAGCAAAAACCGGGGGGGGGGGGGGAGGCGTGGATCTCTTTGTGCTTTTTGTTTTTTTCCTGAGATGGTTCCCTGGGAGTGTTACACCCAAGCACGTGCTGGGGCGTAGATCTTGGGAATGGAGGTGTTTCATAAGATGGAATTCAGGGTACGTGTGAACAAAACATGGGGGGCGGTGTTATGTTTGACTAGGGAAGCGACCCACTGGTTGCCCCTTTCCACAGAAAAGCTGATGGAAGGAACCAGGTTTTAAGTGCGTTATGGGCCCAAGGGCTTCTGCAGATAGCCTCTTTTTTTTGTATTTGTGGCGTTGTCCTTGTTGTCCTTGCCTAACTGCTGCAAGCTATGGCCAAGTAGCCATTCGAAGGATACTCTCCGTTGATGAATCCAAGTCCCCACCTCGTGGGGCGCGTTGCGCCGCCTACGCGGCAGCATATTTGAACCTGAGACCAGGTGTTCGAACCGAAAGCGCTACCCAGAGATACTTGAACCATGTGAGGGGGGGACTTGCGAGATGCACCCTCCAAGACATGGAACTTAGCAGGGGTCCCTTTCTGTACTGCTATTGGCTTGGATCTTATGGCTTTAACTGTTTGGATTCCCCTCATATTTCTTGCTGGGGGATCTACAGCACCCATTGGAAAAGAGAATCGTCCTGGGCGTAATGTTGCATGTGGATGGGAGATGAGGCAGATGTTCCACTCAAGTAAGCCAGGGGACATCTCGGTTTGCGGAGGGAAATGCGGAAATTGCTGGTTTCCTAGCTCCCCCAGTGGTGCCCTTTTACATTTTTTGGGGGGAGGGTTCCCCTACCAAAATAGACTACCGAACAAAAAAGGTACCCTTATTCCAATCTCTCTACTGGAGCACCTAGTTTCTTTCCCGGGAGGGTCCAAAGAGAAATGTGCAAGGTACAGCCAGGTTTCAAGTAGCTGGTTTGGCTGAGCACTTTTTTTGCTGCATAAGGCCAGCTGGAATTGGAGTACCACGATCTGCTGAGCCTCTTCGAATTCTTGGACAACGGCATCTTGGCAGCATGGTCCGTCCCTTCCAACTCCAAGTTACTTGGGTCTCTTTTCCACTGGGCATAAAGCTGGCTTCGGCAAAAGGA